CGTTGATAGCGTACATTGCCAAGAAAGCCGTCCACGAATACTCCGGTGATGTTCGCCAAGTGGCTTCCATGTCCCGCCGCCTTGTCCACACAGCCCAGAAAGAGGCTCGTGATGAGGCAATCAAACGAGGTGAGGTGCGGAATGAAGAAACCCCGCAGCGTCGCAGCGGTAGTGGCATCACACGCGCTGGCGCGGTCCCGGGCAATACTTCGCCTGCCTCTCCCGCCGCCGTCATGACACTCGCGCAGAGCCAAAAAGTATTACGTGGTACTGCTGTCGTGAGCGATCGCGTCTTTGAGTACGTTTCGGGTATGCCAGAGCAGATGCTATATGTTCTCAGCTGCCTTGTTGTCTTGGCACTCCGACAGCAGCGGGATAAAAGTCTTGCGCAGACAAATGTGGCCGGCGTGACATCAATGACACGTCGTGTGAGGACCGATGCTGCAGCGGGTAAAACAGAGCCGGGCACATTTGCGATGCGTGAGGTCCACCGCATGTACACGGCACTTATGGGTCAGCAAAGATTTCCAATGATGAATGCGGCAGGCATTGCGTCTGCGATTGATAGTTTTGCAGATCTTGGTATTATTTCTCGGCCACAGCGGTGTGGAAATGAGGAACTCTTTTCTTTTAACGGCACATGGTCATTGGAGTCGATGCAGAGTGCACTTACCACCCGCGGTGAGTTACTGCGACAGGAACGCATAGAGTTTGGTTTAGATGGCTCAGAGAATCGTTTTGGCGAAGTCTTACGGGAACTGAAGAAAATTGCCGGACTGTAAAACACAACACAACCCTGTCACTGTTTTGTCAGCTGTCGATTTTCTTTATTTCTCTTATATACATGCATCCATTTATCCATCCATACATGCATACATATACATGTAATATATATACATATGAGTGGGCACTTTTGTGAATAAATAAATAAAATAAATTCCCATGTACATAAATAAACCGCATGACGTCAGTGAACGTACGACGAACCGCTTGTTGCTTTTTTTTTTTTTTTTTTTTTTACATGTGGGTTCACTTTCCGCTGTATTTTTTGGTGGTTATGATGATCACCGACAACATAGAATTTACTTTGGATTAGAACAGCCACTTCGTTATGGCAAATGCATTGATAATACATCCATACGTACATTCTGCAGACATGTATCTCAATCTACAGCGCCATTGCAGAAACGATCAGTAAAAGATAGAGAAGATAAAAGGAATGGGGAAATAAATAAAACAGACTACTTCCCCATTGTTTTTTTTTTTTTTTTTTTTTCTCTTTGTGTGCTTTACGTGCAGGTTTTCTATGATTTGTCCATCTTTCCTCTGTGAGGCTGGACAGGAAGTCAATTGCATTCACTTAAGTCATTCTCCATACTCAATTAACGGGGGGAAAAAAAGAAAAAAAGGAAAGAGAGGAGTTATCAGCGCTATTATTATTATTATTTTGTTTGCAGACATAATAAATTTTTAATAACAATACGCAGAAATATATAGACTCACATACAATACATACATAGAAATATCCCCCTTTTTTTTGTGTGTCCTGTACATATATAAATATATATAAATATATAAATATAAATATTTGTGTACATGTATGTCTCGCCACTGATTATTTATATTTATTTATATATTTTAAATTATTTCCTTAAAATATTTTTTTTTTTTCCGGATACCACAAGCAGAGTGGCCGTGTTGTATTCGTGCACCACATGCTCTCACACTCCCTACAAAAAAAAAAAACCCAATAAAAACAACTACACATGCCTCTTTTCCTTTTTTCTTCTTCTCTACTGTTTCATTATTATTATTATTATTATTTTTTTTTAAGGGAGGGAGATGCCCCGTGAAATCAAGAGCCTGAAGGAGTTTCTCGCCATCTGCTCCCGGAAGGACGCCAGATGTGTGAAGGTGAAGCACAACCCTGCGCAGACAAAGTTCAAGGTGCGCTGCAGCCGCCACCTCTACACCCTCGTCGTCGCGGACAGGAAGAAGGCGGACAAGATTGAGCGGTCCATTCACCCCTCCGTGAAGAAAATTACCGTCACGGCGCGCTCCCACGCCAAAACAAACGCCGGCAGCAAGTAGGAGTTGCGGCCACATCATCGCACGGAAATTGAATGGAGTGATGCAGCCGAAAGGGCGCCTATACTGCTTTCTTCACCTCTTCTGTAAGGACTTGTCTGTGCATGTGTGTGTGTGAGTGGTGTGAAATATGACGAGCTCTTCTTTGTTTCTTGTGGAGTGTGAGGGTTAATGTTTCCTGCTTTTTATTTTTATTTTGTGTCTTTGTTTTTATTTTATTCTGTGAGGCCACTACGGAAAAAAAAAAGAAAAAAAAAGAAAAACGCCTTCACCACCCTTCATGTGGCTTTTATTTATTCTGTTGCTGGAGGAATCCGCATGCATTTTTCTTTGCCTTCTTTTTCTCTCTGCTGAGGGAACAACCTTTCCTCTGTCACTTCATTCATCTCCAAGGGCTTGGAATTGCCGACACTTCTGTGGGAAGGACCAAAAAGTGTCGCGGGGAATGTGACGGGGCTGCATCTGTATTTGGCAAAAAACATTTGCAGGCATAGTGATACCTACATCCATGCCGCACGAGGCGGTGTCAAGTTTGATTGGCAAGGTGGCAACGCATTCATTCTATGTGGCTGCATCTGCCATCAGCAATGCCCAGTGATGGAGATGTGCGCTGACGGTTTCACCCCCCCGGCGAGGTGACAGTAGCAACAGGGAGACTGACAGGGAGAAGCGGTGGCTGCGTAGTCGCGCACGCGGATTTGAATGACGAACGCATAAAAAGAAGGCAACGAAGTTGACTGGCGCCGCGCACGTCGCACAGATTGCATCGAGAAATGCAGTCCGCTTTCTTTCCTTGCGTGGGAGCCTGCCATGATGCATCGCTGTTGTGGCGTGTACGGTTCGGAGTCCCTGTGTGGTCTTCACTGCGCTGCGTTCTCTTCCCAGTTTTGTGTGTGTGTCGGGGGCGATAAACCCATGCCCTCTTGCATTTGGTGTGCGTTGCGCAATGTGCTCCGCACCGCGTGGATGACTCTCTTGTTGTGCTCGTCGGTCATTTCTCTGCCTACTCTCTCTCTCTCTAATCTTCCTTTTGATTGTCTGCTGGGTCACAGCTCCAAGTGAAGCCGACCAAGAAGACAAGGGGAAACGATGTCCGGGCGTCACGGGGAAGGAAATGACGATAATGAGACGAGTCCCGCGTCTACGGGGCCGCAGGGACTTAGTCGGGCGAGAGTGAGGTTGGACTTCCACGGAGGCAGGGGCCAACCCGCTGTGCCTCGCAGAAGAGTGCGGGAAAAGCAGCGGCCATATTGGAGACTTGACAGTGAGGTGAAAGATGTGCTGCTGGAGGGAGAGGCCCGCGGCAATTACATGAAGCTGAATGATTTTCTTCGGAGGCATATCGGCCCCAGCGCAGTTGTCGATGAAAGATACAATGTGACGATGGAAGTATTTTTAGTGAAGCCGAAGGCTTACGTGCAGGATCCGCAGCTGCTTGGACAAATTCTCAATTTGACAGAGTATCACGCGCTGCAAGAGACTTACAAGCTTAGGGGAGATACGTACAGACTTCATCGCGAAGGTGTGATCTTTCTTGAACAATGGGGAAACTTTGAACGGAAGAATATGTGCACTCCTCTTGCAAGGCTAAAACTCGATGCAGCCCTTAAGGTGGCACCGAAACAAGAAAAGGCATACATGCTGGAGGGACACTACGACTCTCTGTACGATGCGGGGTGGCATCATGTCATGGAAGTTCCCGACGGCGAGGGGACGGGAATGAAGGTGCATGAGGGGAAACCAGCACAGTCATGGACGTACAAGAAAGTTGGCAACACGCTTGAAAAGGATGACGGTGTGGAGCAATCCGGTGCACCGCGTCTCAGGCTGATGGTGCTCACCTCGGACTGGGCATGGCCGTATTCTTGGCTGCTAGGGAAACCGATTCGTGACTGCTATGTGAACTGCGAGGTGGATCGAGTTTGGCAGATCGTCAACGGCGATCTCACCGAGTGGTTCAGCAATTTTGATTTGACTCTCAATCCTTCACCCGTGATGCGTCTCTTGGTTGGGGCGCCCGGGATCGGGAAATCGATGGCTGCCGGTTCGTACCTCCTCTACCAACTGCTGCACTATGATGCGGAGAAACTCCCTGTGGTTGCGTACCGCATTGCGGATCGAACATTCATGTTTGACAAGGCTACCCAAAAGGTGTCACATTACATTGGTAAGGAAGCGGTTTTGAAATCTGTGGAGGAATTTTCTGGGCGTGGGATGAAGGGGTATATCATCTACAACGTGGCCGAGCCTATTCATGAACCGTCTGTTCGTTTGCTTCCCAGGGGATGGGGCATGATTGTGGTGACGCCACCAGAAGAGAGTGCCCACAGAAGATGTAAGAAGCAGTTGAGGGGCAGGCGGATCATAATGAATTGCCCACAGGAGAGCGATGTGAAGGCAATGTGCGTGTGGAAGAAGCGCAATCAGTCAGCTGAGGCGCAGGTGGGATACTGGCAGGAGGTAAGAGGCTACATGAATAAGGTGGGATCCATCCTCCGTGACCTGTTCAGTGAGAGAGATACTAATGCACGCCTTTCCGCTGCGAGGGAGCCGTGGAATGGATTGCCTCATCAAATGCTCATGACTACATTGGCGTGAAAAGTGGGGAAATGCGGTACAGTGATAGTCCGTCGCACAAACCTCTGAAGATCATTTGGGTGACGGAGCATAAAGGGAACGGGATATTCCTCAACACTGCGGTCCCCACTGCGAGCGGGCGCAAAATATTGATTTGTTTGGTAACGATGACACCGCCCGCCGATGTCTTGAAGCTCTTAATGCATGGCGAGGAATGCATTTTGTGGAGGTCGCTGGATGTGTTTGGCGCGGTCGCACCCACGAATGGGGGCGCTGTGGAGTGAATCCACCCTAAGCTCAAGGAGCTGACTTCTCCGCCAGGGCGACGGGAGCCAAAGCGCACCGCGCCACAGCCGGCATGATGAGGCAGCCCAACGAGCATTTGGCGGCATATTTTAACGGTTGGGAGTATTTTGCCCACGACGTGTCGTGGGGGATTGCTTGCGCGCGACTCACAGACAGCACGTCGGTAAGCGACTGACGGCGGTGTGGTTTGGTCGGGTGCCCGAGTGGGGGTGAGCGAGAAGGGAGGGAGGAGGCCATCGCGGGATTTCGGCACAGGAAGGTATATCGGTGCCAGGTGGGGGAAATCGTGTACAGATCCACGTGCTGTGCGTGGGGTGAGTGAAGCGGTCTTGTGCTTTTCCCTGAGACACCCCGTGGAGCTTCTCTTCTACGAGCTCTGCGGTGTGCTGGGAAGGGGACGATCGCATTGGAGGTGCTGTGCGGGGCATCGCCACGGTTTTTTTTTTTTTTTTTTTTTGTGGCAGCATTTCAGAGATTTTCTTTTTGTTTCTTTTTTGTGCCGTCATCATTGCTCTCTGGTCTTGTGGAGCGGATGGTGATAGTTGCTATTTTTTATTGCCTTTTGTTTTCAAATTTATTTTTACACGACGTTCCGCTCCTGCTGCACTTTGCTCATGGAAGCGGTTGTCGTTGGGCAGTCGACACGAGAGTGTGAAATGAGGCGCTCTGGACATGCGCCTCGCGTGTCACTGCTGGTGTGTTGGGGAATGGGATGTGGAAGTGCGGGGGAATGACTTGCTTGTAAATCTTTTTTTTTAAATGGTTATTATTGAATTTGTGGGTGGGGCATTCAAAATGCGTACTCCACGTGTGCCTGCTTGTGTGCTTGTGTGTGTGTGTGTGTCTTCTTCTTGTATGTTTCCTTCGACTCCTTGTCTTTGCTTTCCTCGCGTGGTTGGGGTGGGTCGTGCGGACGAAACAAGAAAGCCGCCACGATCGCGCGCTTTACCGAACGGAAGGCGAGCGGCATAGCGGATCAGTTGGCTCTGGGGAGAAGAGGGGGGCGCCGTGGCCCCACATGCATGTTTCGTCGACCGGAGGATGTCGAACGTCGGAGGACGCGGCTGACGGACACCAGGCCGTTGCGTCATCTTCTCGTGACGGGGGGTCTGGGGTTTATTGGGAGCAATTTCATCAACCACTTGTTGCGAACGCATTCTGGAGTGCATGTGTACAACCTTGACAAGGTGGACTACTGCAGCAGCTTTAGGTCGATTGAAAACCCCAGTGACCCCTACTACCACTTTGTCAGGGGGAATATTACCAACGCGGATCTTGTGATGTATGTACTACGTCATCATGACATTGATACCATCATTAACTTTGCGGCGCAGAGCCACGTGGACAATAGTTTTGGTAATAGTCTTTCCTTCACGTATAATAACGTCCTTGGGACGCATGTGCTTCTTGAGTGTGCCCGGACGTATGGTAGGATAGAAAAGTTTATTCATGTTAGCACAGACGAGGTGTATGGACAGGTAACGGACTCCAAGAAGGAAGAGGGGACATTAAATCCAACCAATCCATATGCGGCAACAAAGGCGGCAGTAGAGTACATTGTGAAGTCGTACCATATATCGTTTGGACTGCCTTGCATCATTACCCGTGGAAATAATGTGTATGGACCATACCAGTATCCAGAAAAGCTCATACCTCGGTTTATTATGCTTATGAATGCTGGAAAGAAACTGACTATTCAGGGCAATGGCAGCAATAAGCGCACATTTATACATGCAAGTGATGTAGCGCGGGCATTTGTTGCAATTATTAACCATGGGTTTATTGGCGATGTGTACAATATTGGATCTTGTGACGAGAAGAGTGTGCTGGATATTGCCCGTATGACCGTTAAATATGTGCGAGCGCACAAGTGTGGAGAGAGGGAGCCACTGGCGGACCCCAGTGAGGAGGAGGTCTCAAGGCATCTTGTATTTGTGAAGGACCGTGAATTTAACGACGAGCGTTATGACATTAGCGTAGAGAAACTGCAGGAGTTGGGCTGGAGACAGGAGGTGAGGTTCGAGGAGGGATATAAAGAGACGGTGGCGTGGTATCTGAAGGCATTTTCGCAGGACTTTTGGGAAAACCTGCGGTGGGATATTCCCGACGCCCACGCACCATGTATTGGTGAGCTGGAGCTCTTGCCGTCACGTCTGTGAGAGAGACGTGAAAAGGCACTGAAGAAGAGGGAGGGGACTGTGTGTTTGAGTGTGCAGTCATGCTCTGTTTTCTGTGGCCGTCCGACTCTGCCTGCCTGTTTTTATTTATTTGTTTATTTATTTTTTACTTTTGTGTGTCAGTTGTCCTTTTTTTTTTTTCCTTCTTTTTCATTCCCCCTTCTTCCTGACTTCCGTGTGCATATCGGCAGTGCGAGGGGGGATATGCAAGGAGGAGTTGGTGAGGCCGAATGCTTCAGGGAGACGGTGTGTGTGTGTGTGTGTGTGTGTGTGTGTGTGTGTGTGTGTGTGTGTGTGTGTGTGGAGGGATCAAACATGGCAGGGGGAGACATAAATAAATATGCCCACAAAAAAAGGAAATGAAAAGAGGGATTAAATTAAATTTTATTTTATTTTATTTTTTACACTTTTTTTTTTTTTTTTTGTCTTTCTCTTTTTTCTACGTCTTTCTGTCCATTTTTTTTTTTTTTCTCTCTCTCTCTCTCTGTGTGTGTGTGTGTGTGTCTACAAGTGGGAGGAAACGGGGAGGAAAGGGAGCAATAGAGCAGGGAAATTAATTTCTCCGTCCTAATAGTTTACTTCAACTCCAGTACGCACTCACACAGTTAAACACAGAAGTTGATACAGTCGCTCTTTGCAATAATTATACCTAAATATATACATATACACACACACTCCTCTGTAGACTTATATATATATATATAATATATATATATATATAAAGCGAAAGAAGAGGCGTGTGGAGAGAGACTTTGTGTGTGTGTGTAACGGAGAGAAAGAGAGAGAAAGAGGAGGATTTGTGTGATATCCTCAGAGGACAAATTCGTTGCCAGGAGTCTACAACCCCGACAAGTGTGACAGATATTATAAATATAAATATTTATTTATTTATATTTATATTTTACTTCTTATGCGTAATAACGCCACGGAAAAATTGCTTAGCACGGCTCGTGCGGAGGGTCTCTCCATTACGGAGAATGGCTTTGCCGAGTTTATGGATCGTACCGATCCTTTACATGAGCACCGTGAGGCCTTTCACTTTCCCAAGAGGCGAGATGGTGGGGATTACGTGTACGTCAGCGGTAACACTTTAGGACTGCAGCACAAGGACGTAGAATCAAATGTCGGTGGGGTGCTGAAGAAGTGGCGTGATCTCGGTGTGATGGGTAACTATCAACACCCAAATCCATGGGAAGAGTTGGAAAGTTTGGGTAGAAAAGAGATTGCGGCGATTGTGGGGGCACAAGAGAGTGAGGTGATCACAATGAACTCCTTTGGAGTCAACCTGCATTTGCTTCTTATGGCATTTTACAGGCCAAAAGGAAAGCGGCGGCGGATTGTGACAGGGAACCATGCTTCCCCCAGTAGCACCTACGCCATCATATCCCAGTTGGATTCACGGGGGATGAATCCAGCGGAGGATCTCATTTACGTGAGTGCCGCAAACCATGAGAGCTGGGAAAGCAGTCCAGTGAATATTCCAATAGAGCAGTTTTTATCTGTTATTGAGAAACGTGGGGATGAGATTGCGGTTATTTTGTTGAGTGCCGTTCACTTTTTAACCGGACAATTTTATGACCTTCAAGCCATCACAAAGGCGGCCCATGAAAAGGGTATTTTTGTCGGTGTAGATTGTTCCCACGCTGTGGGGAATGTCCCACTGAAACTGCATGACTGGGAAGTGGACTTTGCATGTTGGTGTAATTACAGATATCTTAACAGTGGCCCCAGTAACCTTGGTGGTGCGTTTGTGCACAGCAAGCACACTTCGGTGGAAAATGAGTTGAAGCCGTTACGTGGTTCGTGGGGCCATGATCGCCGGAACCGCGCTAGTCTACATCATAACTTTGAGCCCGCAGAAGGAGCGGCGAGTTTTCAAATTAGCAACGTCCCTGCTGTCGGCATGATGGCGATGCTGCCAAGCATCCGTCTCATGGCGGAGGTTGGGATGGGGCCACTACGTGAGAAGTCCATGTTGTTGACATCTTACATGGAGCTGTTGTTGAGTGAGTTGGTCCCACAAGGGTCAATTGAGGTCATTACACCCGTTGACCCCAATCAACGTGGGGCACAGCTGTCACTTCGCATTCTGCCTAACCGACTGGCCGATGTACACTCTTCAAAGGACGCGTATGAGTGCAACCCCGGTGAGGACAGCGACGCCGATCGTATGGAGCGGCAACTCTGCGACAAGGGCGTTATTGTGAGTCACTGCCCACCAAATGTCATTCGTCTTGCCCCTGTGCCGTTGTATAACTCCTTCATGGATGTCTTGTTGACGGTTCGGGCGATTGCGGAGTGCTTTTAAAAAAAAAAAACAACAACAAAAAAGAGAGAAAAAAAAAAAAAAAGGGAAAAAACGAAGAAAAGGGGGAAGTCAGCCATCCATCATGGATTTCCCTCCTTTTATTGGAAATATTACTTACGAACACACATACATGTACATATATAATAAATATATATACGCACATACACACACAACAGGAGGGGAGGGGAAAGAGAAAAGTGGAGAGGATTGAAAAGAGGCAAAAAATAATAAATCAATTAAAAAAAAAAAAAAGGAAGAAGAAACAGAAAAGGAAGGGGGTGTTGAAGGAAATTGATAGCATTATAACAGCCACAGCAAAAATAAATAATAATAATAATACAAGAGAGGCAAACATATTTACATATATACACATATATATATATATATATATATATATAGTATATGTATTATTATATTATATTATATATCCAAGTAAATATGTATATATATATATATATAATGAAGGAAACGAAGAAGGTGGAAAACAACAACAAGAAATAATAATATTAATAAAGAAGAAGAAGAGGAAAACAAAAATTTGATGCAAACTGGAAGTGAAATAGTTTGTGGAGTGGAGATGAGGGATGAAAAGGAACGCAGTTGAAGAAACGATATATATATATATATATATCTGCTCTACATTGAAGTTTGGATGCAGAGAAAGCATACATACATACATACATACATGTATATATTATATGGATAGGGTTTGTGTGTGTGTGTGTGTGTGTGTGTGTGTGTGTGTGTGTATTTGAGTGGTGGTGGGGGCAGAAGAGGGGGGGGGGCGAGGGACGCTGAAAGAATGGGAGGAGATGAGTTGCCGGTCATAAATTGTGTGTTGCAAGCCAAACCTACTACTAATACCACAAATAATAATAATAAAAGCAAACAAACACACAAAACAAAACAAAAAGAAGAGAAAGAGAAAATAAGTTTTGAAGATAGAGATTGAGGGAGTGGGGAATAGGGGGTGTTGTCTTGCATTGCAAGGGCGACGCAATGGAGGGAAGTTCCGTCATGTGATGGTGGTAGCGGCTGAAGGAAGAGAGAGAGAGAGAGGTGACATTTTTTTTTTTTGCTGTGGGTATGTATGGAAAGGAATGAATGAATAAAAACAAGCAAACAAAAAGGAAGGTAAATAAACATGTACATTGGATTGTTATTTTTTTTTTACCTTTTTTTTTTTTTTTTTTTTTTTTTTTTTTTTTTTTTTTTTTTTTTTTTTTTTGGAGGTGGTGGGGAGACAGGGGAGAGGGATATTCATATGAGTCAAGGATTTATGGAGCATTACAATAGTGTGAAATATGTGATGCATATCTTTTGTTTTTTGTTGATTATTATTATTTATTATTATATATTTAATGTTTATAATATACATATATATATATATACATACATCCATTATACATATATGTATGCATATTGTAAGAGATGTATTGTATGTGACTAACGCACCGTCGTTCAACCCTTTTATTTCTCAATATATATATGTATGTATGTATGTATGTATGTATATGTACCTCTGTGCCTCTGTACTTCTCTCTCTCTGTATATATATAAATATATATTTATGCTGATGGATGGAGGCGTTGCAAGTAAATGATGGCCATCTTTGAAGCCAAACGGCGTGAAGAAATTCATATGAATGCGTGTGTAAAAAAAAAAAAATATATTTCTATTTGCGTGCATACATATTTTTTTTTTTTTTGTAAGTGTTGAGTGTTGTACGTGATAGACAGAGAGAGAGAGAGGGAGGGAGGGAGAGAATGGGAGGAGTGGAAGAGATGTTGTCTTGTGTTTGATTGTTTTGCTGTTGAAGAGCGCCCCGTTTCTTTTTTTTGTTTCTGTGTGTTTGTGTGTTTGTGTGCCTTCGTTTTTATTGTTATTATATTTTTTCTTTGCTCTACTCTTTCGGTCACCGGTGGGTTTGGTTTGAGAGAGCAAAGAGAGAGAGACACACACACAGAGAGAGAGAGAGAGAGAGAAAGCAGAAGAACGAGCGAGCGAACAGGCCAATAGAAGAAAGCCAGGAAAAGAAAAGGAAAAAGAAAAAAAAAAAAAAGAAATTGGAAGGATCATTATAAACATGTATACGTGTACATGTACTTTTCTTTTCTTTTCTTTTCTTTCTCTCTCTCTCTCTGTGTGTGTGTGTGAGAGAGTATTTTGTGCGTGTATGTGCGTGCGTGTGTGTTTGTGTGTGCCTTTGGCGGAGCGACAACGAGATCGCATGCCTGCATGTTGTCTGCCTGCATGTGTGGGCCAGGCGTCTCGTTTCTGCCGGCATCAACGCCAATATTTTCTTTTCCTTTTCTTTTTTCTTCTCACTCTCTTCTTCTTGATTGCGGTTGCTGGTGTTGTTTGTTGGCACGCACACGCGTGTCTCTCTCTTTTTGTGTGTGTGTGTTGGGGACCTTTCGGGTGAACCCCTGCGTTGCTGAGAAGCACCCTCTTCAAAAAAAAAAAAGAAAAAAAAAAAAGAAGGACACGGATGGGGACGATGGTGCTGGAGGAGAGCAAAATTGATGACCCGACAGCGTTGCGGCGCATCATTTCGGCAGCGCAGCCCTGCCAAAGTCACGTGGGCCGCATGATGGATGCGAGCCGAGCCCACGCCCACATTTTCGCTGGCATTGAAAAAAAGTCTCACTCCGTTGCGAAGAAGGAGCGAGACAGGCAGTTGCAGCTGCAGCGCGAGTATCAGACTGCGTGGGAGGTCGCAGCCGTTCGCAGCCTGCAGCTGCCGGCGCTGCGCACACTGGCGCCGTCCTTCACAAAGA